CAGCCCTCAAATTCGACGTCACGCAGAACCTGTGTACAACGTCACAAGTCACTTGACAGGTGTACCCGGAAAGGAGTACGACTTTTCGAAAATGGCGATCCACGAAAGTCGCTGCCCAAACAGAGGAAAGTAGAGCTGACTTTCGTCCAAGTCCCGACTGGACCGAGCTGTGGGACGGGCTTGGTGATGCGTATATAACGGGAATATCATCTGATTTAAGGATGAACGGCGTGAGGATGGCACGAGAGGAGGACGGTGTGACGGCAGACTCTTACACCGTGAGTCTATGACGTGATGTTTGTAGTAAAAATCAAACTACAAATACAAACCGAAACTCTTTTTTACGAGTTTACAAAAACTGATCTTGAAATAACTAGTATGTTTTTTCTAAACTGGCTGTTTTAGAGCAAGGCAACCATTAAGTTCCCTGTAATCCAATTTAGTTCCTGTTATGTATTACATTCCTATTACATACACATGTACCGGAAGGTCTTGTTATAGTAAACATCTATACATTTTAACATGACTTTCCGGATGGTTGCGTGATGATTTACGTGTCCTGTGTTTTGCTTTTATGCTTTAACTTTTATGTGATTTATACACAGGAAAACCTCATTGGAACATTGTTAGCTATCTTTGGAAACCTGTTGGTCAGCATCTCAGTCAGCATTCAGGTAAGTGTGTATTTGCAGCCTACATTTCTAATTGCATTGTGATTCAGGGTCAGGGTGTGTTCAGGTTACGCCCTGTCAGGTGAAATTCAGACGCTTTTATTTACTTCTCAACATCTTGTTTTATAACCCAGCTGTTGTTTGTTACAGTATCCAAGGGAGTCGGTTTAATAAGAAGGTGTAAAAGACAAACACACGTAATCACGATTGATGTTTTCTCTTGCAGAAACAAAGTCATGTGACATTGGCAGGAAATAAAGACCCCAGGCAATACTACTACACAAAGACCTGGTGGTCTGGCCTGATGCTGATGGTTCTGGGGGAGGGCGCCTTGTTTGTGTCTTACGCATTTGCACCGCTCTCTCTTATAGCACCACTTAATGCTGTGTCTGTTATATGTAGGTATTCATAGTCTGACTTACTGTTCACTCAACTTTTTACTGTTTCACATATGATATAATTTAAATATTCATGTTAATCTTATATGTAATAGAGAATGTTATTTTAGTATCATGATACTAGTATAGTTTTATTAATGTTTTGAATTACTTTTCATTTTGATTTTAGTTAGAATTTTGTGTATTTTTTACATTATTTTTTCTTGAAATATGTCTGTAGTTTTTATGAATTTTTATTTTAGTTCTAGTATATGAAGTTAAATTGAATGAAAATGAGAAATGTTTCTTGCAACTAGCTGAAATAAACTTTTAGTTATATTTTATGTTATTTCAAGTAACAACCAATGGTTATTTTGATTTTCACAGCAAGCTCCATCTTGGGTTTCCTGTTTTTGCGGGAAAAGTGGAAGGCACAAGAATTCTTGAGTGAGTTTTGCTCATCTTTCTCAGTACATATAAAGGAATAAAAGAAACAAAATTCTGATAAATCATATTGATTGCCTTCAGTTGCATAACTCACAACATAATGCTAGCTTTGATGTGCCAGCTGTATTTTCTCAGCTATTTATTCAAAAGATTGAGGCCATGAGTTGCTAAGCAACAAGTAACTACTTGCTAATATATTATATTAGTAATATATAACATCCCTGTACTTGTCTTTGTAGAGCGCTACATCTTAACTTTCCTGGGCTGTGCCTTGACGGCAGGCGGCACTTACCTCTTTGTGACGTTTGGACCAAACTCTCACGAGAAGCTGAATGCGGAGAACATAGTAAAACATGTTATTGGCTGGCCCTTCCTCTTATACTTGGTAATACACACCCTCATGTTTTGGAAAGCTATTGTGTGCTTCCAAATTTTAAATGGCACATATCGAACCAAATTTATTTTACAAAGGATATCGTTTTGATTTACAGTGCACATTATTTTTGGTATGTAGAAATAAAATTTGTTTTGATGTCTGAAGGCACTTTATTTTAACAGTTAATTTTGTATCGTTTTTTTCCAGCTTCTGGGGATCATTACTTTCTGTCTGGTGCTGTATTTCTATAAACAGCGGAATGCTAACTACCTCATCCTGATTCTGCTGCTGGTGGCACTACTTGGTAGGACAATAACACAGCATTTGTTGTTTGTAGAGCCCATTGTGTGCATGCAACATTACTCAAAGTACTTGTTTAGCAAAGTGGCTCTCTTGACAAGGAAGGAATGCACAGATCAACAAGTCATTGTCTATTTTGCCCTCATAAATGTACCAGAGACCAAAATAATGGAGTTGACCTTTCCCTTGACCTTTGCCCTTTTAGGTTCAGTGACTGTAATCACGGTGAAGGCGGTTTCAGGAATGATTGTGCTCAGCATCTTGGGTCCTCTACAGCTGTCCTATCCCATTTTCTATGTCATGTTCGTCTGCATGGTGGCAACAATCGTCTTTCAAGCATCGTAAGTTCTGGTGTTTGTTGTGTTAATGTTCTGTTGTAGGACAGTGAGCTTGGAGTGGAATGCTGTATGTTTTTATCTGACCTGACTTTCTTTATTAGATTTTTAGCACAGGCGTCTCACCTGTATGATTCCTCTCTCATCACCTGTGTGAATTATGTTTTCTGCACAACATTTGCAGTTGTGGCAGGTAGGACTCAGAAATTTCTTTCTCTGTCTCAATTAAGACGACAGGGTTGTCTTCATTTTGTATCAGTGGTCTCAGTCTCATTCTGTTTCTTTAATAACAGGGGCCATATTTTATCAGGAGTTTAACCACGAAGATGTTCTGCACATATGTATGTTTCTTTTGGGGTAGGTTTTATCTAAGTACATACACTACCATTAAACAGTTTGGGTGAGATGAGGTAAAAAAAAAAACATTAGTGTTGTTGAAAGATGTTGCTCATGTTCACTGAGGCTGCATGTGATCAAAAATACAGTAAAACCATAATATTGTGAAATATTTTAATGTTTTAAATATATTTTAAAATGTAATTTATTCCTGTGATGGGAAAGCTGAAAGTCATATGATCCTTCAGAAATCATTCTGAAAAATCATCATGAAAAAATAAATGTTTATATTTATTGTCCGCCCTAAATTTTACATTCAATTTATCAAGATGGAAAATGCTCACTGTACTACTATTATGTGACTATTATAGAATACTATGTGATACTCTGTAACACATCCGTGTGAGGAAATGAACTATTTGGCCATGAAATTCCACACAAGTTTGTTTTCTTAGCGGTAGCAATGACTAACAGACTAGAGGCGAGGCCCTTGGAATCTAGGATTTGTTACCATGTGTCTTTTTAACATTCCTGCAGGTGTGCTATATGCTTTCTTGGAGTGTTCCTGATCACTAAAAACAAGAGGAAGGCCAAAGCTTTTGAGCCATATGTCACTATGGACATGGCAAAAGGTATGACTTGTCATTTCTGTCATCAAGCCAAACAATTAATCATCCTATTAGATTAAACACTTCTTGTCTTTTCTGTCAAATCAGGCATTCCGACCATTCACAACAAAGGCTGGGCTGTGCAGCCAGATTATAACGGCTCTTTTTCATATGGAGCACTGGAGAACAACGATAGTGTGGCTCCTGTGACGCTTCCGGTGGACCAAGAGCTGTCTGTCTCTCCCAGTCCTGTTAGCCCATACCAACCATCAGGACTGAAAAAAGACTGAGCGGAAATGTGTCTGAAGTGCAATTAAGACTGATTTTACTTGAGAAATGCTACTGTGTGTTGAAGCATTTGCTTATTCACAGCACTTCTAGAGCACAGTTCCAGAATATTGGATCATTCTAGAACTTTCTCTCGTCTGATCCTGAGCCGGGAAACCAAGCTATAACAGACTTACTGTATGTTAGAACAGTGGTTCCCAATCCTGGTCCTGGAGGCACCCCAACACTGCACATTTGCATGTCTCTGACACACCAATTTCAGGTCTTGAAGTCTCTACTAATGAGCTGATGGTCTGAATCAGGTGTGTTTGATTAAGGAGACATGCAAAACGTGCAGTGTTGGGGTGCCTCAAGGACCAGGGTTGGGAACCACTGTGTTAGAATGCAAATAAGGTCTTTCATTGGTGGCGTTGATTTTAACATAAGATATTGGCATGTTATCTTTGTATGATACTCATATTTGTAATCATACCTTAAATGTGCTGACTGACTTCATGACCACTCCCGGTTTCCTATCAAAATGCAAAAAGCTAATAATGATAACCTGAAAGCCTAAAAATACCTCAGAAAATTTGGATTCTGCTACTGCTTTGTACCAGAGATACTACAGCCAGTCCAGCTTTATCAACCAAAGGCCAAAAACTAATGTAGATTGCACAATACCCAGCTAGTTATATACAAATATATATTTGGTACTGGCTCAAATTACTGTATTCTCAAGTTCATACGCACTGTTCTCTCATTTTCCATTTTGAAGTCTTCAGACCTGAATGTCTGCTGTGCCTGTTATTTATTCTCTGTGCTTATCTGAAGCATACCATATAGACATTTCTATACAAATCTGCATGTTTGTAGGTATCACATTGGATATCGGAACACTGCTGGTGGTTGAAATGTACAGATGCCTCTGTAAAACTTTAAGAAACACTGGCTGATATTTTATCATAAATACCATTGCTTAGAATAATGTGGTAAAATATTTTGTTGTTGTTATGGTGTCTTTTAACACAAATAATCATTAATGCTGTATTTTATTATACCATTGACAGAGACACCATTGTTGAAAGATAATGGGAAACTTGACTAGTTATGTTTAAGTGCAATTACTACTGTGTTAAGAAATGTTATTTTATTTTTATTTTTTTACTTAATGTTGTTTATGCTATTACAACCATTACACAAGGACAGTCATTATGCCTTTAATCAAAATAAATAATGTAAAAAAAGACGTCAGCAGGTAGTTTAAAGCTTACCAATGTATTACAGCCTTGAATCTCAGTCGTATTGCTGTGGACTGCTGTATAATAGAGTATTGAACTGGAAGATTAATTTCAGTATCACAAGAACTGACGTACGTTTGAATATGTAAAACAACCTTTGTGTAATTTAAGAATAGTATTATTTCACTAATTGTTGTCTGTGTATCATGTATCGAGGACCATTTCTGTATTATTAAGGAGCCATATATGTACAGTAGACTCAGAGTCTGCCTGTGCAAGTCAAGATAACAACAGGCGGTCAAATTAATTATTAGTGGTCTCAACATCCGGTGAAAACATCCTCATACTGAGCACAGATATTGTAATGACCATTTCGACAGGAATTTTGATACTGCTATAAGAAGGATAGCAGTTGCATCCAATACAACGTTTCAGTTAGACAGTTGTTTTTAAATATAAACGTTTAAAATGAGTCAATTCATGTGGTAAAAATGAATGTGTCAAAGATGATCCGTAATGCATTCTGATGTCATACACCAAACAGGGCGGGTCCAGTCCGCTGTGACACGTCATCAATACCTGCTGTCAATCTTCGCGAACTCGAACCCCATTGGCTGATTATGAGATAACCCTGAATATCATTGGTCATTCCTCACTGTCACGTCATTTTGATAGCATACGACGAATTTACTGTTTATATGAAAAGACGTGTTTCTAGTTGAGATTAACAATATTCCATTATTCTGTTAAAGTTTATGTACCTCGGATTTTAAAGTGGATGGCCTCTTGCCTGGGCATCGATTTCGAATAAGTTGCAAAGATAACTGGTAAGTCATCTATAAAACTTACATTATCGTGCTATTATATTTGACTCTGATGGACTTGCTTTGAAATTTACGTCAGAATAAAAGTGGCAGAATTAATAGACTAACATAGATGCTTACTACAATTATGTTGCCAATGTCATTTTGATAGTTTAAGCATGCTAATCGGTTTGTTATGAAATATAGCAGCAGCGATGATTTTTCCCAGAAAATATTAATTATATGTACATTATTTATTTTTATCGCCATGAACATACATTCAGCACCACGCATGTTTGCATTCGCTCCAGGTTAGCGAACACAACACTTTCTATTTTAGAGACACGTTTATAAGATTACAGCCATAATGTACACACATTGTACTCGTGTAACAGCCACTAGATGGCGCTGTAACACAGCGAGAGAGTAGCTGAACGTTCAAGCACGTTCACTCTCATGTCGTTCTCAAACATTAGGACTTTCTTTCTTTCTCTGTTGAAAACGAACTGAGGCAAGATATTCACGCTGCTAGTTTTATAAATGAAAGTGAATAATGACCAGATGTTAAGCACCATAAAAGGAAAAATAGTACATTGGTCAAAGCATGAAAGTTTAAAACAGTTTTTGTTTTCATACGTTAGATTGTGTCCTCTCTTAAAAAAAATAAATAAATAATAATAATGACTATCATGCATTTTTTACCATAATTTATTGGAAACACCCACCAAAATGTCATTCAGAGTAACAATAGTTTATCTTGTCAGACATAGTAGACCAATTAGATGGCATTAAAAGAGTGTATTTAATGATCAGTGCAGCCCCTCAAATCTAATTAATTGTAATTTTAAATCTTTGCCATTATCCTTCAAACCACTAAGTTTTACCCATTTGTCAACAGAGTCAGTTTTAATGACTGCAAAAATTAATAAAGTGTTTAAAATAGTAACGATAAAAAATGAGTCAATGTTTCCAATTTATTTAAGAAACACAAAAGCCCATGAAGTGGATAAAAATAAAGAGAGAGAGAAAATAACCCCTCAAAAAGGTCAGTAGCCTAAGAAGATTTATCTTCCTGACAGAGTAGAGGTTTATTAGTCCCCTTTTTTTTTTTTTTATTAATTAATTTAGTTATTTATTTATTTATTTTGTAATGTTAGCTTTACCGGAGCAGCACGCAAACAAT